CCCCCCACTTGCCGTCGCAAAAAGCCATTTACCGTCGCAAAAAACTTTTGAGACGGTGTTTGGGGTATTTGCGACGGCGTTTTGCCGTCGCAAAAAATCAATTTTTTTTGTAGTAAAGATACACACAGGAGAACTTAGGTCATTGATATCGAACCATATATTAGATTAATATAACACTTTTGGGTAACAGACAGTTTAGTCATCATGAATGCTTGTAGGTTCTGCTATTTATGGAGTATGGAAAAGCATGCTAAAGTTCTGGAAACTAAGACTTGTAATCTTTAATATGACATGGCATTACCATTTTATGTTTGATTTGTAATGGCATAATGAAATTAAAGTACAAGAAAAATGAGGCAAAATCTGGAAACTAAGACTGATTAGCATTAATATGACGTGGCATTACCATTTTATGTTTGATTTTAATGGGTATGGATATGATATGCAACTTACAGATTTTACACACATTGGAGAACTTAGGTCATTGATAAAACCATATACAAGATTTTATGTTACATAAGCAAAGAAAACACTTGGTTTAGTGCTTCCACCTGAAAAAGATAAAAAAATAAAAAAAGAAGAAGAAGGAGCAAGCAAGCATCTTGCATATATCATTGTTTCATGAAGAAAAAGCTAAGCATGTCTTAATATATGAGTAGGGTATGTCAAAAGCTTATCTTGTTAACGGGCTTCAAATAGTGTTCAAACTTAGTTTATCTATCTTTCGAACCAATCTTAACTCAAGTGAACTCCGACAGAGCCGATCATGAGCTGAGCTCAAGTACTTAGTTTTCTATATAGTTCTAGTTATGTATAAGAATATCGAGACGAGTTTGACCTGAGTTCAAAAAAGTTATAAAAAATTAATGAGTTTGAGCTTGGCTCATTTTTGAACAAGCTTCTAGTGAACTGAACATGAGTTGGGATTGAATAACTTGGTTTGTTTTACTGCCTAGGTGTCGGTCCACTAGCAGTCAAAGCAAACCGATGCCAAAAATTCAATTTGCCACTTTTGATGATTCCAAACATACAGCAAGCCACCAGTCTTGGGGCTGTCAGTTCATATACAAAATCAGTTACAAACTAATTCTCAGATTGCATAGACATAGACCAACACACGAGACAAATAGTTGTATGACTTTCTTCTCCTTTCTCAATCCCTCTTTGCAATCTTCTCAAACTCGAAAACATTCAAATTTGGGGTTTATATCTTCATCTATGCCCCTAAGATTCAAAGTACATCTTAATTTGTGTTTTTTAAGTATTGCATTTAAAAATTGGGAAATAAGATTCTTTGCAGTTTGCGCGTAGGGTCACCAAGACCAAGCATATGTCCTGAGAGCTTCTTTAGGAGTTTTCACTGCTAACCCTACCAATAGGTGGGAAGTTGTTTTCAGAATTTAAGATGGTCTAATGGTTGCTACTGGGGGAAGGGACATACCTCGTCAGAGGATTCTTTTTTTGGGAGGAAGCAAAGAAAACACTTGGTTTAGTGCTTCCACCTGAAAAAGATAAAAAAATAAAAAAAGAAGAAGAAGGAGCAAGCAAGCATCTTGCATATATCATTGTTTCATGAAGAAAAAGCTAAGCATGTCTTAATATATGAGTAGGGTATGTCAAAAGCTTATCTTGTTAACGGGCTTCAAAAAGTGTTCAAACTTAGTTTATCTATCTTTCGAACCAATCTTAACTTAAGTGAACTCCGACAGAGCCGATCATGAGCTGAGCTCAAGTACTTAGTTTTCTATATAGTTCTAGTTATGTATAAGAATATCGAGACGAGTTTGACCTGAGTTCAAAAAAGTTATAAAAAATTAATGAGTTTGAGCTTGGCTCATTTTTGAACAAGCTTCTAGTGAACTGAACATGAGTTGGGATTGAATAACTTGGTTTGTTTTACTGCCTAGGTGTCGGTCCACTAGCAGTCAAAGCAAACCGATGCCAAAAATTCAGTTTGCCACTTTTGATGATTCCAAACATACAGCAAGCCACCAGTCTTGGGGCTATCAGTTCATATACAAAATCAGTTACAAACTAATTCTCAGATTGCATAGACATAGACCAACACACGAGACAAATAGTTGTATGACTTTCTTCTCCTTTCTCAATCCCTCTTTGCAATCTTCTCAAACTCAGAAACATTCAAATTTGGGGTTTATATCTTCATCTATGCCCCTAAGATTCAAAGTACATCTTAATTTGTGTTTTTTAAGTATTGCATTTAAAAATTGGGAAATAAGATTCTTTGCAGTTTGCGCGTAGGGTCACCAAGACCAAGCATATGTCCTGAGAGCTTCTTTAGGAGTTTTCACTGCTAACCCTACCAATAGGTGGGAAGTTGTTTTCAGAATTTAAGATGGTCTAATGGTTGCTACTGGGGGAAGGGACATGCCTCGTCAGAGGATTCTTTTTTTGGGAGGCTATTCTTTTGAGCTTGAGGAAGAAGAGGAAGATCAAATCGGGGGACGGTGATTGGCGATTATGGAGCGAGGGCAGGGCCTTCGTAAAGCGATTGTTCTTTGCAGGCATGAGGTTGGTTGGTGCTGTCAGAAGCTTCGCATGGCCTCGCGGGAACCAGGTCGCTTGGCTTACTCGAGCCGTTTGATTGGAGGATGTCGGAGTGTGGCAGTGTGGATTCGAGAAGAGAATGGCAAATCCTCGTTTCAGATGGTGGCCATGATGGGTGGCAGAAGAGAACAGATTTTTGTACAGAAATCTAAATTTGGTGGTGGCTGGGAGGGGTTTGCTTTGGTCCTAGAGCGTTTTGCCTTTGGGGATGGTGGGGCCAGTCGAAAGAAAAGCCAACCCATGGTGAAGGTAGTAGGGAGGCTACCGTTGGCGATTGCGACAGTACATCGGGATGGGGATGCGGGAGATGTGGTGTTCAGGAAGGTAATGAAAGAGGATGGTTTCAGAAGCTGGATAGAGCAGTAGTGGAGAGGGTGGAGGTCTGGGGGGACAAAGGTTTGGACATGATGGTGGTGGCAAATTAGGTGCATCACTAGTGGAAATCATCAGGGGAAGTGGATGTTTATGGAATTGAAGGGCAATTTAAGGCGTGACGCCAAGAGTGTGCTGCGTCGGCGGTGGACGATAGCTAGGTGTGACTTGGTTCTTAATTGGTGGTTGTCGGATTCACGGTGTGCGGATGGCAGGGCACCAGCCTTGGCACCCAATAACTCGGTACAGATTTTGGGCCTTTCGATCCACCTTCGAAGCCCCGAGGTGTATTGCGAGATCGGCAATAGATATGGTGGTTTTGTGGCGACTAATGAGTTGATAGAGATGTTGGGGTGTGTTCGAATGAAGGTTCGCGGCCTGGCCAACGCGATTTCATTGCAGATTTCAATTTGATGGGGTTCACGGCGTTATACGTTGCCTATCTGGTTGAAAACTAGGTCGGTGGTGGTTATTGCTCCGGCGATGGGTGGTTCTTGGGTTACGAGTCGACCAGATTTGGAAGGTGCGAATCAAGGACGGAAGGCGTGGCGATGATCTCAGAGAACAGCTCAGTTATAGAGATTGGAGGAGCGGAGGGGATTTCATTCTAATCCTTAGAGATTTGGGGAATTTAGGGCTAGGGGTCAATGGAGGCCTAGGTTAACAGGGCTTGGGTTTAGGTAGGTTTGGTGGCCACAGACCAACAGGAGGTGGGCCATATGGACAGTCCGGAAATGAGTCAGGCCCAATCTGAGGCCTATACAGAGGGTGAGGCAATTGGGCTTAATGGTATGACTAATGGGCGTGCCTTGGGAGAGTCTCACTTGGCCCATGGTTTTGGGCATGGTTTGGGCCCATCTTCTAAGGAGCCACCTGTGCAGTTTACGGGTCAAGTGGAGGATCCATTGGTGGCACGGGTTCTTAAGCTACTTTGTTGAAGTGTGGGTTCGCCATCAATAGAGAGGTTTTCCCTGGCGGGAGAGGATCCACGGAGGTCGTCGCCGTGTTCCCTATCAACGACAACTGGGCCTTCGCAACATCAGTCCGAGCCCAGTTCGAAAGCGGACGGGGATAAGGCGAGATCATCTGCTGCATTTAGTCAGATACTGATTCTGAGGTCTGAAGTTTGTGAGGAGGAAGGCGACTGGTTGGGCTGTCACGTTGACCTTGGAATTGGGTTAGAAGATGGAACACAAGCCGATCACTGGGTTGCTAATAGTGAAAGTTTGCCTTTGGTTTTGTAACCGTTGGCGATGAAGACAGTGGACTCTAAGGCTGTCGGGGTTGGGGCTGCCACAGAGACAACGACAACGAGTTTTGCAGGTGATGAGCCTCCAGATCAGAGGGAAGTGTCTGCTTGGGTGTTGGCACAGATTAAGGAGGTTAGTTCTTTGCTTGGGGTTTCATTTGTTGGGCATGAGGCTGAATCAATGAGGCTGTTTTCAACCATAAAGGCATCATGGAGGGGGAGTGCTCCGGTGGGGACGCAGTTGCAGATTGTTGGGCAAAAGGGAAAGGGTGCTAGAGAGTTGCGGAATTTACAGTGCATTGTCAATTATGATAGGAGGCCACAAGAAGGCAGTCGAGCCGTGAGGAAGGAGCGTGTCAGCCAATCATTGTTGCCATGCGGTTGAAAATATTTTCTTGGAATGTTCGTGGCCTTAATGATAGAGGGAAGAGGGTGACAGTACAGGCGGTATTGAGGAAGGCAAAAGCGGATGTTGTTTGTTTTCAGGAGACCAAAATGGATTACATAGACCGGGAAGTGGTTAGAGAGGTGTGCAAGGGGTCAGTATGTGGATTGGACATATTTGCCAACTATTGGGGTGGCTGGGGGGATTTCAGTGTGCTAGGATCGGAGGGTGGTTGAAAAAGAGGAGAAGGAGGTGGGTAGTTTTTCTCTATCGTGTCTTTTTCGCTGCATTGGGGATGATTTCCGATGGGTGTTCACAAGAGTTTATAGGCCCGTGAGGGGATCAGAGCGGCCTTTATTTTGGGACGAATTACAGAGTATTGCTTTTCGGTGGTCGGTGCTGTGGTGTGTAAGGGTGGATTTTAATATGGTGCATCGTTCGGGGGAGAAGTTGGGTTTGCGCCCAACACTGGGCGTTATGCGTGATTTTTCTTCGTTGATTGATGATCTGGAGTTGATTGATTTATCGATGCAGGGAGGTAGCTTCACTTGGTCTGGCGGCCGGGTGTTTTAGCATATTGACCGGTTTTTGATTTCAGGATATTGGGAGGAGCACTTCTCTCGAGTGGTTCAGCAAAGATTGGAGCATCTTGTTTTGGATCATTGGCCGGTGCTGTTAGACAGTGGTGGGATTCGGAGTGGACCGGTGCCATTTTGGTTTGAAAATATGTGGATGCAATCTGTAGGGTTTGTGGATATTAATTGGTTGTGGTGGGTAGGTTATGATGTGTTGGGAGATCCTAGTTGCAGATTGGCTCAGAAATTAAAACTTCTAAAGGCTGACCTACAAAGGTGGAATAAGGAGGTGCTTGGTCAGTTAGACACTCAGAAGGCTAATCTTTTGGTTGTATTACAAGAGTTGGATGCAAAGGAAGTGGAGGATAGCTTGACTGATGAGGAGTTGGCGATCCGTGAAAGGGTGAGATGAGAGTATAGCCAGGTGGCTCACATAGAGGAGGTTAGTTATTTCCAGCGTTTGAGATGTTTATGGTTGAAAATGACGATCAGAATACAAAATATTTTCACCATATGGCGAATGCTCATCGCTGGGTCAATCAAATTGGGAAGTTGTGGGTTAATGATGTGTTGTTATCGTCAGAGGAGGAAGAGGTGAGAGAGGGCATAATGAGCTTCTATCAGCATTTGTTTTGGGGGGAGGATGAGACTTGGAGGCCAGGGTTAGATGGGGTTCAGTTTGATGCTATTTCAGAGGCGGACAGGCAGATGTTGGAACGGCCATTTTTCGAGGAGGAGGTTTTCGGGGCTCTTCAGAAAATGTCTGGGGACAAGGCGCCGGGCCCCGATGTTTTTACTATGCTTTTCTTCCAGCGATGTTGGGGAGTGGTCAAGACAGATGTGTTAGCCTTGTTTGCGTAGTTTTATCAGTCAGGATAGTTTGAAAGGAGTCTTGATGCAACTTTGTAGTGTTAATTCCTAAGAAAGGAGGGACGGAGGATATAAGGGATTTTTGACCCATCAACCTGTTGGGGAGTGTGTACAAGCTTTTGGTGAAAGTTTGGCTAACAGATTGCGAGGTGTCTTGGAGGGGCTAGTGTCTGAGTCCCAGAATGCCTTTGTGGGTGGGCGTCAAATTTTGGATGCTGTGTTGGTAGCAAATAAGTGTGTTGACTCACGATTTCGATAGGGGGGAGCTGGTCTTATTTGTAAGTTAGATATTGAGAAGGCGTATGATAATGTGAACTGGAGGTTTTTGATGTATTTGTTAGAGAGAATGGGGTTTGGGGAACAGTGGAGGCAGTGGATTCAGTTTTGTATATCAACGATTAGGATGTTTGTCCTAGTGAACGGAACGCTAGCAAGATTTTTCCCGACTCATAGGGGTTTGCGGCAGAGAGACCCATTGTCTCCATTATTGTTTATTTTGATTATGGAGGCTTTGGAGCGGCTGTTATCTAATGCAGTTCGGAAGGGTGTTTTGATGGGTTTCAAGGTGGGTATGGATCGAAATACTAGCTTAGTGGTGTCTTAAGTGGTCAGTGCTGCGAGAATGGTTCGACCCTCCTCGGCGCAAGCTGCGGACCAAGGTATTTGGATGACTTTTGAGGCCTGAAGACCTACATTTCTGGTTCCCCTGATTCAAAGCTTGGGATCTTTATTGTCTCCGAAGTTTTTCGTACTTTCCGTTTTACAATGTCTGTGTTTTTTTCTTCGATATTCGATTTAACGACTTGTTCATTTCATCTGCAATTGAGTGTTCTTCCTTGATTTCATTTCAATCGGTATTGGGTCATAAATTTCTGATACATAGCTCATGTTTGTCTGTATGTAACTGTACTTGAACTGGGTATTTTTTTGTTATCATTTTTTATTGTTGTTTTACATTTTAGTCAAAAAAATGATAAAATATTTAAGGTTAGTTTCGGAAGAACGTTTGTAGTTTAATTTTTTGGCCTTCTGTCTAAATTAGCTCTGTTCGAGAATGGTTTTTATGTTTTTTAGTTTTTCCCAATTTGTTTTTCCATTTTTTCAATTTTTCCGCGTATACCAGAATTGCTGTTGCATTGTAGTACGCAAATGAAGCAATCCCAAACGCAGTCAACGCCTTCCAAAACTTTGCACAAGCGCGGTAGTAAACAGACGCAGCAGCAGTCCGCAAACCTGCATAAAGCAGCTTGGGACTTCGACACGGTGTGGATTTTCTTGGAACTTGTTATCAAAGAGTTGGACGCTGGTTTCAAGAGGGGCTTCCATACAATGACAATGCATGGATATAGAGCTGTCTACAAGGGCTTCCAGGAGCGTACAAATAAGGTGCATGACGTCAAGCAACTGCAAAACAAGTATGCGTTGCTAAAAAAGGATTGGCAGTCAGTGGCGGAGCCAGGAATTTAATGTAGGGGGGGCACCAATTAATTATAATCTCAAAATTTGGTCTCGATCATTAGTATTATAGTCCATAATCCGAGGTCGTAGTCCTAGATCTGCAAGAAAGTCTACTAAGGATGATCTAAATAAGTGCATTTTTTGACTTTTTATGAAATATGGGTTGGATTTGGGTTGGGTTTGAAGTGATGTGTTAGAGAGGTGATGTGACTTAAATAAGATGATGTGACTTAAATAGAATAGTGACTTTTTAACTTTTTAACTTTTTTGAAACTTGCCAAACCAGCCCTAAGTTAATTTATATGCAACTTTGTTTTGCGGAAAAATAATTGTAATCTTCTTCTTGAGGAAGAGATGATTCTAACTTTGATTTTCTTTTGAAATATTTCTCCATGACTGTTTTAAAAAATAAAAATCAAAATAAAAATTTATAATCAAAATCACAAACCCCCACAAATCAAAATCTCCAATTTTAATATAAATCAAAAAATTTAAATTTAGCACAAATTACAAAAAAGAAAATTTCTAATATACTAATATTATAACAAATGAAAGTCCCTAATTTAAATAACAAATACTATAAATTAATATTTTTAATTGTAGAACAAATCAAATCCCTAATTTTAGCACAAACATCAACAAACCAAAATCCTTACTTTTAATATAAATCACCACCAATTAAGATTCATAATTTTAACATATCAAAATCTCTTATTTTAACATAAATAATAACAATCAAAATTTTTTACAAATCAAAACTTAACAAATAACTATAAATTGATACTCATAATTTTTATTTAAAAATAAAAAATTATAAATAAAGTTACATGTAAACAATGAAGAGAAGATAACAAGGTTATAGTGTGATCCCAAATCTGTATTGTGTGATCCTAATCTGGTGAATCGCGAGTTGATAAATTACAAAGTAACAAAGAGAGATAAAATATATATATATATTGATGTCGTTTTTCCATGAATAAAAAAAAATAATTGAATTGAATTGAAGGTGTGTCAGTGTGTTTGGGTGCATGTGTTAGTGTGTTTGGAAATTTGGTGCATGTGTGCGTGTGTTCAAGTGGGCTGCTGTACACGCTCGCTCGAGCGAAGACTTTGTCGCTCGAGCGACCAGACACAGAAAACTCTCGCTCGAGCCAAGAAGTTCTCGCTCGAGCCAAAAACTCAGAAGTGCGCTCGAGCGAAAGAACGCTCGCTCGAGCCAACAACCAAACCCTCAGGTCTACAACTGGAAGCACGCTCGAGCGACAAACCTCTCGCTCGAGCGAAGAACAAACCAGACCGCTTGAGCCAAGAAAAACTCACTCGAGCCAAGAAATGCAACTCTCAGGTCCAAAACCAGACGCCATCGCTCGCTCGAGCGAAGCCACGCGGGCTCGACCCACCAGACACGAACTCAACTCTCGCTCGAGCGACCAACTCCTCGCTCGAGCGAAGGTCCAAAAATCTGGGCAGCAACACTAGGCTCCCAAACACAACCAACCTGTAACAAACCTGCCCAACACATCCTATAACTCAATATACAAAGTAAAGAGGATGCAAACAAGATAATAAACAACTACCAATACCGACGGACACATGTCCGGATTACTGTACAACAAGGGTAAACCCGGGATCGCTATAGCGTGTAAGCTCAAACAAAACCAAAAAAAAAAAAAAATTTGAAAAGTCAAGGGGGGCAGGTGACCCCCCTGGCCCCCACATCTCTCCGCCCCTGTTAGCAGTCGCGGTCTAAACTGATGGACAACAGGCATGGGCCAATTGGCATAAGTTACAATGAAGCGACGGGTTTGATACAAACATCTGACAACTGGTGGGCGCATTATGAAAATGTAACATTTCCAGTGACTTTTACTTACGTTCAACATGATACTGATGCGTGTATTAGAACGTTAGTGCTAGAGGCCTTGAATTCTAGGCCTCGAATTTGGCTTGCCCCTGCTTTTATTTTTATTTTTTTGGAAATTGTGGTTGTGTTAATTACTTCTTTTTTTTTGTAGTTTTTTTTTAAAATTTTTTTAAGAGTGGCTACGTGTTGTGCCAAAAAATTCGACATTTCGCACCAACTCATCGTACAAAATTATATGAAATTAAGAAAACGAAAACCAACAATCTAACTTATCAGCCAATTTCATCGCTCAACTAGTCCAGCCTAATTGACTGATCAATTAGGCTGCTGGTTAAAATTTGTTAATTTCATCTAATTTTATACGATGAGTTGGTGCGGGATGTCTAATTATTTCGCATACCCCTACACATAACTACCTTAAAAAAAACAACCAAACCAACACAGGCCAACAAATAAAATTTAATTACATTAAAAAAAAAAAACCAATACAGCCCAACAAATAGAAGAAAAACAAAACAACTCATCCTATGTAGCTTAATAAAGTGAGTGAGTTGGATTGGACTGGTTGAGTGCTAAAATTTTTTATCACCCAATCAGTCCAACCCAACTCACTCACCTTATCAAACTATACAAGTTCAGTTAGTGTGTGATGTCTAGTTTTGCAGTATACTTCTTCACAGAACCATTTTTGCAAAAAGAAAAGAAAGGCAATTTTTTTTTTTTAAAAAAAAAAGGGACCAGACTAACACAGCCACAAAAAAAAAAATTAAAATGGTATTTGCGGCCTCAAGCATTATTGATATTAGAAGCATTATTCTTGTTTCCTATTACTGTTTAGGATTAGGTCTAAAATTGCTATATATATATTAGATGTACATGTTGTATTGACACACTATTGAATATACAGAGAACATTCAACGGAATGTGGCTTAGGAGAATATTCAAATCAAACCTAACTAGAAAAACAAATCAGGAAGAGACAACTGAGTAGGATCAAAAACTATTTCATGATAGCATTGCTTACCCACATAAGCTTTGTTCCACCTATGATTCTACGTAAATAATGAAACATTTGTAGCAATTCAAGGAGTTCTGATCATACCCACAGTGTTTTCAACTTTTTAAGTGCCACTAAAATGCAATCCTGTGGAGAATCAAACACTGAACCCTAGAACACAACTACGTCGACCATGGTGCCTAAGGTCTGAATTATGTTTGAAGACATCAAGTTGGAGACATGTTCTTCGAGATGTTTTTTGGCATCTTGTCTTCCCACATTCGCAAATTCCAAGTTTTTCTGGTGGAAACTCATCCTCTTCCTGCATTGCCTTGTTATATTTAATAGCAAGGTTTAGCATCTCGTGAACAGTTTGCTTATTGGTCTTGGAATGGGTATCAAATCATTGTAGACTTGAATAACCTGCTGTAAATATTTTGATTGAGTTCAAATGAAAATAGTAGAATGTTGGGTTTGGATTATCATTCTAGTAGGGGGTACGTTGGGTTAGAATACTATGGTAGAACGGTTAGTATGAAGATCCTCCCTGCTGGGATTCATATGGATCAGCTTGAATCTATCAAGTCCTTTCCCCACACATTGAAGAAAGTTTGCGAATTGAAGGAAAGCTTTGAGGGGTAAATTGTGGTGTTGGGTGTGGATGATATGGATATGTTTAAGGGTATTAGTTTGAAGTTCTTAGCAATGGGATATCTCTTAGAAGAACACCCTGAACAAAAATGACAATGACAACCTCTCACTGACAATTACATCACAAATCAAAACTATATAATCTTGAACACAATATTTGTTACTTAAAATGATGTCACTTTCATGAATTAATTGGATGACAAAAAATTTAATTTAACTCTCTTGACCTTAACTTTTCCAACAATGCTATGTGCACGAAAAAAAATAAAAAAAATAAAAAAATCAATATGTATCTCAGTTTTATGTTGAATTTAGTTCCTTCTACACGTAGAATCTACGTCATACCTTGATCTTTCTCTATGTGTTTCTTTCTATACACGTAGGATCACTCTTAACTTCTTAGGCTATGATCTTCTAACTTTATGATTTGAA